TTGACTTGCTTTTGGACCTAAATTAACATTGATATGTATAAGTTTCATACAACGAAAACATATTGCAGTACCATCTTCATATGGCTTACTTCTGCTGTAATTATATTGATCAAAATTTGCTCCTTGAACATATGAAGCATGGAGACATAGCTCGTGATACGTAGAACTTGTTTCTCCTGGACCTATTAAATCTTGAAGAGCGATTCTAACACGAATACTCTACTGAATGGGTGTTTCCCTTTCAAAGATCATACTAATGGAATCATAAGGCCTCTCAGCATCGATAACTCTATTAAGTACATTATGCCCACCAGTTATTTCAAGTCTTCTATTTATATTATGATGTGCTCTGGATATATTTAATGATTATATGAGATTTAAGTATATTTAGAAGTATTTTGACTTATCAGATTTGATTCAATATATATGATTATATCTGAATTCATTTTTTGTTAATTTAGGTCTACACTTAAAAGATAAAGAAGTTGTTTCGATATATAAGGATATAGAATTAGCATAGCTGGCACGGTCAAGACTATCTACTGTTGAGAATATTGTTAATCTTTCTAACTCAGATAGAAACGTTCTATTTCTCAGATCCAATATAAAGTTATTTTCTATTTGACGATATGCTTCAAAGAAGTATCCCTAAAAAGCCAGATTGTATAACTCCTGATCTTATACTGAAAAATACGAGACATATCTCTTTAGAGCTGTGAAGAGTTTCAGAAGTTATATGATGAAAATATTTGTTACGATAGCAGAGCTAGTATCAAAGATACTTAAAATTTGTTGTAAAAAAATATGTGCAGTACATTTGTATTTATATAGAATTGCTTATATAGATATTAGTTATATACAGCTGCTTATGACGATTGACAGAACATATGAAATCAACAAATGACCCATGATTGTCACATGAATAAAAATCTATTTCAGCCATATGCTTCATTCTCGGATATAAGCACTGAAACTGGTTCATAAATTACACTGGTAAATGGTTATGAGATTTTAATATGATCAAATGATGACAATGAACTATTTTCTTGCAATATTTATTGTATAGCAATGACACTTCGTGCTTACAGTTTATAATAAGTAATAACTTGTATAACGTGATATATGCCATAGAAAGAATTTGAATGTAATAGAACTTGCATGTATCATTAGGTCATGCGATAAACATGTATCACAGAAAAACAATGTATATGTGAAGTGCAAGGTAATCAAATTTGATAAATTAACACATGGCTTATTCTTTGTAGTCCCTGAGGCAGTATACGTGTTATTTAAGGGAAAACTACGTGTCTGAGGGTTCGCGTTTTTTTACGATTCTTATATTTTTTCTTATACCTCAATCCTATATTTTTTACTAAGTTTTTTGTATTAACATGTTTGATCTCAATGAAAAATATTCCAGCTATGAAGAACTTACATCTTATTTGATACGAAGTAGAGACAAATCTTTTTGGGACTTTTTACACCATTGCCAGGACACAATTGTTATCACCACTTCAGCTACTTCTTGCTAGGTGGATCTCAATAATACATGGAATATCTATTTCTTAAAAGAAGCTCAAATATTATTAGACCAAAAAGATTTTAATAAAATGAAAATACAGGTGTGTTTTTTTTTATTTTGCAAAGAGAGGCTAACTCTTAAAAGAGTGAAAGTTTGATTAGGAGAACTACTGGGTATAACCACTTGGGTAACCAGCCCCAAGTCCTCTATTCAAGTGCCCTAACTTTGTCATTGGTAAAGGTCTGCAGATTCCGGAGGAGGAATCAGTTATGCGTCTTCCTTTTGGGCATGCTATTTATCATCTGATTTCTCTATACTATAGGGTTCACCCTAAACCATTTGATTTTTGACATGTCCTTATCATTAAATAGAAAATTACACACTTAATAGAAAATTACACACTGTTAACATTGATAAATGCTTTTCTTACAATAGGTTAATTTGAAACAGGAGTGCCGTGCAAAAAAATTGAAGGATTATTGGAATAATATAATTGCAGAATGTGAAATAATAAGTAAAACTGCTTATTTTATATTTATATATTGACATTAATATTAATACTATTTATGATTATTTCTTCTGAAATTAGAAACAAGACATTGAGACCCATGAAATAACACTATCACATCTTCAGCTCAAATTATTCAAAATTAAAGAAAAAGTAAGGATAGAAAATGCTGAATCCACTAAAAATTCAATGGATGAGGATTTTGTTAATGAAGATCTTGGATATGATAATTTTTTGCAAAATAATAATGGTGGTACCAGTTATGATACTTTATATGAAAATATCAGTGATAACGACAACAGCAATGACAATAGTAATAAAAAAAATAATAATAATGACATTAGTGGTAATATCGTCAATGTTAACGAAAATAATAATTGTAACAACAACAATGATAATAATATAACAATACCATCGACAGTAGCAACAATATCATCACTGCCACTAACATATAATCTTCGCACAAGAAGACCCAATCCTCCTAGCTATAATTATGGTCATATAACTAAAAAATATCGAAAGAAAAATAAATCATCATAACTACGACCATCATCACAACAATCACCACAACAATCACCACGACCATCACGACAACTATCACCACGACGATTATCACCATGACAACTATCACCACAACAACCCTCACCACAATGACTTTTACATGATGATTTTGATTTTTTCGACAATGGCGGTGGTGGTGATAACAATAATAATGATTCGTCTTTATGTATAGGATACCCTGTATATTGTTTAGATTAATCCGTTTTTTTTTATTTTTTTATCATATATTTTTATTGTATATTTTGTTAATAAAGAATTGGTACATATTAATATGAATTATTTTTTCATGTGAATGTATTTGCAAAAGTGATCGACAATCTGTTAACATTGTTAACGATTTTTCTATTGTGGAACAGCTCTTAAGAGTGCTTTTATAGACATGAGCTCCGCTCTGACATTTTCAGTGACGCCTAAAATTTCATTATATATCTTTACGATAAAGAATTAAATATATGTATATATATAAAAAAATGACAAATACACAATTCAAAGTCGATTCATTAGAAGAGCAGAATTCCAAACTTGTAGCTAAGATCGCGGAATTAAAAAGAGAAAGGCTGAATTCTTAGCTAAGGAATTGGGATTTATAACTAGGATTATAGAATTAGAACAAACTTTGAAAGATTGTGAAGCTAGGTTCGTGAATCTAGAGCAGAAAGATAATGAAAAGACTATTTATATGGTAAAGATAGATGGTGAAATTAAGGAAATTAAGTAATCTTCTGTTAATATCACTTTTATTTCTGAGCAGGTAGAAAAAAGTTCCAATATATACCAGGAAAATGATGGCTGATATTCTGTATCTTCTATTCTCCCTGAAACAAATTCGAACGATACTCATAAACAGTTAATTCCACAAAATAAGGATACTCCGGTATCGCATATAACTGATAATACTTCAAATTCTGATAAACCCAATAATGCTTTAGCATCTGATGTATCTGATGTTACTAGTCAACCTTTTGGACTAATTTTATTTTCCAAAAGGCAATTTACAACTAGCAACTCGTAAACAGTTACTTTAG